ATACAAAGTAACAAATGCGGGTTTATAGCTTGATCTCTTTCATTAATAATCATTCATCTATTTTGCAAACTATAGTTTCTTCTTAAATTCTATATTTATTAACAAAAACAAATTAAATAATGTATTTGACTATTTTCATTAAAACTATATACTACTCCCTCCGTTTTTTACTCTAAATAGTATTAAGATTTTTTTTGTTTCAAACTATAGGTAATTTTCTCACATCTGTGTAACTTTTACATGGATATAATGTGACCAATCAAATAATTTCTATTTTTATAGTTAGTGAAATTTATTAATTAAATACTATGTTCTAAAAAATAACAACTTTCTTAATATTAATTCTTTTATTTTAAACTATTGTAAAATGGAAGAAGTAATATTTTATGTAAACGTTTAGAAAAATCTCAGTGACAAAAACAAAAGTTAGTTTATCGTATTTTGTTAATTTTTAGTAAAACCTTTAAAACCCTCAAAATACGAAAAAATAACAAAACATACCACTTGGGTTTCAACTTTAGTAAAGAAGTATTTTTTTATCTATTAGCTCTAAGCTTATGAATTTGTATGGTCCTAAATAGGTTGTCCTTTAAGAATAAATGATCTTCGGGAGAATTTATATATATTAAACTATTCACACAATACGATTGTTATTCTTTATATACATTTTTTTAATAGTCCTACCTCCCCCCCCCCCATAATTTTGGTAAAGTTTTAGCGCAAAATAGACACAGAATGTAATTAAAAATATCAAATGTTTATTAGAATTTGAAATTCTTTTCAATTACTTATAACGTGCTTACCCGCCCGTAGGGCGGGTTTTCCCTAGTTTCACTATATAATAAGATTTTAGAAAATATCATTTTATGTATAAGAGCAAAATTCTGGTACTTATATATTATAAGAAAGTAGAAAAAAATATATTATATTTTAATCATTTTTCTGAAAAATACTCATTAAAATGAATAACCATAATCATATATATGCAAATTTGATTTAGACACAAAATGCATCTAATGTATGATCTTAATTTTTTATATTAATAGATATACTTTATTATTATTGATTATTATTTATTAATTTATATTTAAATGTAAAGAAAAAACTAAAATCCAAAATCCAGTATTTAAAAACTACAAACACCATTCAATTTTTTCCAAAAACTAGAATCCACAGCAAAATCAAAAACCAAAAATTAAAAACCAAAATCTAAAAACTAAAAACCAAAAAATAAAAACGAGAAACCAAAATCTAAAAACTAGTAAAACAATCATCACCTTAAACTTCAACGTGTATTTAAAACCATCAATTCTTCCTTTAATTTTCTGATTTCCTTTACGTTTTCGGTTGAATAGTCGGATCGACGTTGGCTCTCTTATATATGGACTTGCGATGGATCTTTTCGTCCTTCTTCGGTTTATTGTCTTCTTAATGGACATCTATATTAATAAAATAATAGTACAAAATAGAAATAACTCTTAATTTTATCATTTACTTACATTAGAATGCCATTGAGATATTTATTGAACCTATATTTAAGTATATTTGTCTTTTCCTAATTAAATAATAGATTTAAGTATTTAATATTTTTTTATAATTTAAATAATATATTTCCTTAATAAAATCTTAATCAAAATTGATTTCCTAATATATTTGTTATTAACATATTAAATAATTGTAATATTTTTAGTAATAATTAATAAAATAAAAAATCACGCATCGTAATCAATTTTTATAACATATAAATAAAATATAAAATAATTTATTCATAAATTATTAGTATAATGGTTTCATAATATAAGTCCAATTAGTTATAAATAGTTGATTTATTTATATGATACACAGTAATATAATAGACAATTAAAATCACAAAATGTAATGATTCAAAGTAATAAATAATTTTTATGTTCTTAAATGTTATATTAACAATTATGTAATTCATTTTAATTTACACACATTAATATATATTAATTATACCATTAGTACAAATTTGTTTTTTAAAGTGAAAGCAAATATTTGTACAGTATACACAACAAAGAGTGAACATTTATTTTTTCTTAAAAAAATTGATTTATTAGAAATTATAGTTCCATATGTTTATATATTTAATGTATTTATAAATTTATTTCTTTATTTTAAGGGATATTAATATTTTGGAATTGAATAAAAATTATGACCCACTTCTATATTATTTTAATTAGAAAATTAAAAATTTATATTAGAATATTTTGTTAAATTTTTAATTTGATTTATTATTACTGCAAAGATTAATTTTCAATCTAAAATTATGTTTAAATATTACAAATACATAACTTAATATAAAAAAATAAAATAAATATCGTTCAGTTGGACGGGTTAAAGTCTAGTTAAGATTATTGGAACAAAATTTTGAACCTGATTTGGAGTGGGGACCTCCAACAAAAAATTGTATTGTTTATTGTTTTTTTTCTTGTTTTAGCCTTTAACCATGACAGTGAATCATTTACTCAGATTGAATGATCTACATCAAATGTATATTTTTGGTATTTCAAGTGTAATTTTAAGGGTTTCTCAAATTTTAAAATATTTTATATCTCCAAATTTTTTGAATTTGAGTATATTTGAACCAAACCGTATACAAAAGGTCGAATATTAAGATTAGCCTTTCTATGGCGTTACGGTGAAGCATCTCCGAAAGGAAGAAGGCTGGATTTGATGGATTTTAAATCGTTTATGGAAAAGGTTCAGAAGCTTCCTTCAACCAGATTTGATCTTTCTCTACTATAAAGTCCAGTGAAACAAAGATCTCTCTGTTTGAGTACTCACGGCTAGTGTGGAAAGCATCTCAAAGTACTAATGTTGATATTAGAGTTGAGGCATCACCTGGCGGATCCACGTTAGGGAGAGTGGGTTCACTTGACACCACAAATATTATATAAAAACCTTTTTGTAGGCTATATAGATAAGTTTTTAGTGGCATATTTGGTTGAGAGAGGTATGAATGAACCCACAAACCGGGGTTCAATTCCCCCTTAAAGACCTTTTATATTTTTTTTGACCCCACATATATATTTTTCTGGGATCGCCACTGCCTCTGAAGTCAAAGGATTAAGTGCGACGGTATTTGGCTTCGGAGATAGAAGCTACGGTGGAGCAGCCTCACACAGGACGGAATCCAACATTGGCGGTGGCCGGTGGGAGCTTTGCGTGAATGGCATTTGTCCCAGACATGTCTGGAGATTTAACTAAAGCTTCATGTGTAACTTCTTATGTCAGCAAGAGTTTTAATTTGTTGGAAGAAAAATATATTTGGGCCTCTTACATATTAAATTAGTATCACATTGTACTTGAGCCTATTATGCATTTTCCTTTTAATGAAAACAAGTTGAAAGTCGTTAAATTTGAGAATTGAACCGATCCGGAACGTGAACTCAAACCAAATCGAAATACTTCCAAGTCCTTAAGAGCACCCGCAACCACGGATCCTTAGAGAAAATCCTTAGGGAAAAAGAAAAAAGGGTATTTCGGATTATATAAGAATATTTCAGATTTTTTCTTAAAAAAAAAAATCTGACCATTCACGGGCCGCCACGTGGGCAGTGGAGCCCGTGAATAGTATAAGGATCAATCCTTAGATAATGATTTTAAGGATAAAATACTTAACTGTTCATGGGACCTACTGATTATAAAATTAATATTTCCCTAAGGATTCCTTCTAAGGACCCGTGGTTGCGGGTGCTCTAAGAGTATCATTATCCATGGTTTCTTAAGGCGTGTTTTGTAGGAGTATTTTAAAAACTATTTTTTTTAATTTTTAATTAAAAAATTAAGAAACCATTTCTTATAGATTTATATATCTATAAGAATTTTACCTTAAAAAGTCGTGGATAGTACTCTCTAAAAGGTCTAAATCAGTGAATCGCTTTAGCTAAAGATCCAAAATAGCAAAATGTCAAAGGCTACTCGATAGCTATAAAATGTAACCCTGGAAAAATCAAAGAGCGCAGAAAGTTCAGTATTTTATTTACTTATACATCTTTCTAAATCAATATTTACACACAAGTCTGAGACACACCTCATCACATCGCCGCGACCAATAAACTAGCTAGTCTACCAAATATTCCATTTCAAAGAAGATAAATAAAAGTACACCTAAAGACTAGTGTTTTTACAGAAATATGTAAGACATATATAGCAGATAATGTCAAAGACATGTTTTAAAATATTTTGGTTGGTATGAATGAATAAGAAATATAAAGCTCTGGTTAATTAGAACAAAATGGAATGTGCAGATAAATGTATGATTGATTGATTGGTTGGTTGGTTAAATAATAATTATTAGCTCAACAGTCCCATCCAATAATTACATTTAGTAGTCTTTATCCATTAACATTATGGGCCTTCCCTTTGGTCGGATCTCACATGGTCTTACCTTCATCGAGCAAAACGTTTCTTTACAGAGCTTCAAAACATCTTATATAGTGCAAAGCTAAAAGAGACACAACTCAGATTAGCTATAAAAGAAAAACAGCTCAGGCTCATACTGTCATACATCTTTAAAGCCAATAACTCAAAATTCTTATTTTTATGCCGACATATGTGAAGTTGGAAAATACTTTTCTTTTTATTCTTGAAGCTATTATGTATAGTATATATACTGTATCTATTAATATATTCACAAAGTATAAATTTAATTTCATACTCATAAACATTATTTATGAAAATATTAACATCCTGAAGATGTGTAAATATGAATCTGATTTTCTGCCGAAAAAATGGAAAATAATCTCTTTACTACTTTTTATCATTGAACAAATTATATTAATTTCCCAACTATATAAATTTGTTTTCATAATATTAGCGTCCGGATTCCCGAAGGTGTACAAATATGCCCTTTTATTGCCAACTTTCTACCCAAAAGCAATGTCATTTTAGTAATTAATCAAAGGATGAAGGGTGGCTCTATTAGCTAGAACCAAAATATAAACCATTTCTATACAATAATACACATTTGGCCCAACACAGAGCCAAAGAAAAAAGAGATTCTAAATGGTTTCGCTGCGGCAAAAGAAGAAGCAAAATCCAGCTAAGCGAGCATGGAAGAGCTTCACAAACATGGTCAAGTCCAAACTCAGAGACATCGAGATCGCTGCAACTGTCAGAGAATCAACGGCTCGTGTCATTCGTTTCCTCTCTTGCCGTCTCATCGTTCCTTTCCGAACAAGGTACCTCGAAAACACTAGCTATTCAGACAGATACTACAGCCGCAGCAACAACCAAACTTCTCGGCGGTTTCTCAACTTCTTCTCACGATCTCAAAACAAAACAAAGCGTCGAAGCTATGCTTATGATGATGACGACTACTCTCAAGTCTATCATTACCAAAGCCAGTCACGCCGTGAAGGGACGAGTGAGAGCAAAGAGAAAGTTGTGAGGCGAAAAGAGGAGAAAGTTGTGAGGCGACAAAAGGAGAAAGAAGAAGACTCAGAAGAAGGGATGCCGGAGATTGCTGATTCGATGGAAGATGCGTGGAGGAGAGTGGTGGCTGCTTCGCCTCATCTGAGGGTTGACGAGAGAGCCGACGAGTTCATCTACAAGTTTAGAGAAAGTATGAAGATGGAGAAGGAAAGGTCGTTTCTTGAGTTTCAAGAAAGGTTAAAACGCAGTGCTTGATTAATTGAATCATGTCTGTCTTCATGTTATTCTCTTGAAAAGGACTGATTGAATTTTCTGAGCAACATCGTGTTCTCGTTCTTTCATCTTTTATTAAACTTTGGATAATTTCAAGTGTTAATTTTTTTTTTCCTTTTTTCTGATGTAATGTGAATACATATGGCTCACCACTCTAAAGTTGGATGCATGAGGTGGTTAAAGATCATTCTTGATTAATGTTGATGTATAAACATTGTTTTTTCTACCATATACAATACTCAAGAAGTGCTTTTGTTTTCTTGCCAAATTTTATGTCATTATTGTTGGCAAAAGAGTTTACCTTTCCTACTAATTAAAAAGAGGCAAAAAAGGGGAAAGAGCAACCAAGTTGGACCCAGAAGAGCAAATTCTATTAAAAGCTTCCATCACAAACAAATGAATCATATGATGATGCATGCCAACCAATTCCACTCTCACATTCCTAAAGCTGCCTTCTCTACATACTTCAATGAATTAATAATGGACTCCTACTTGAGACCATATAGGTTATCTAGAAATATTTCATAAAATCTCTCATTGCAACCACATATTAATTGATGTTATAAAGCTGTCGCAATAGTGTTCCTAGATTTACTTTGGTTATGTTCTGGGATGTTTAAAAAAAAAGGTTACAAGCTGATTTGTTTCTTACAGTTTTTCAGGCATAAAAAAAAAACAAGAAATGCCTTAAATGAGTGAACTAGGAACATACATACTAGTATCCGGATCATCTTCGTCGTCATAATCTGGTTCTGTAGATGGTCTGCTTCTCTTTGCATCTCTTGCCACTCCGTGACCTCTCCCTTTCTTCGGTTTTCCCCTGTAATTGGTCACACCAAAATCATTGTATGCGCGGATACATAGTGGTCGGATTAAAGTAAGCAAGGTAAGGTTAGAGAAACTAACTGTCCCGTGGACAATCCACCCTTGGATCTCCCTGGTCCCAATTCAGCTCGCCCATCTATAAACATGAAGAGATATTTAAGTGTGTAAACTGATCCAGGAATAGGGGGGGTTTCAGGGTTTACCTTCTCTTCCCACACCAAGTTCTTCAGCCTGGACACATACATATCAGGGAAAGATCAACATATCAGTCTAAGAAAGAAACTGCAGAGCATCAAATTGAAAACAAACACCCTTTTCCACTAATCACACTTTTGACTTAAGAAGGCAAATAGTATAAGAAGTAATAAATGACATTTCACAAAGAGAAGGAGAGAAACATACAGCTGGTGAGGTGACAGAGGATAAGGAGAAGACTCTGTCTTCAGGCTGAAACTTCCTTGACCTCTTAGCACTGCAGAGTAGGTTCATATCAAATAAGCATTATCTAGAAAGAAAGCAATAGCAATAAACAATGCAAACAGAATCTTAGAGAAGCTGCAAAGAGAATCAAAACCTGGCAGTGGTTTTGGAGGAAGAAAGGAAGCCTTCGAAACCCTTCAAGGCATTGCCTATATGGCTGGATTCTTGAAGATAGCTTGTCTCCAATTCATAAACCTTAACATACAAAAAAAGCAGATTTGATGATTCGAATTGACACCCAAAATTGAATCTCAACAACTGACCTGCTTTTCGATGCTCCGCAAATCTTGTCGAAGCTTCTCTCGCTTGTTCAAAAGACAAGTGAGCATCGCACCTGGATCCCCCGAACCCTTTTGCCCTAATGACATCTCTCCAGATTGCCTGATTGTGAATTTCTAGGTTTTCAACGGTTAACGTCGGAGAAGGATATCTCAATCTCCCCCAAAATGTTTTTTTTTTTGGGACTAATCTAAAGTTTTTTAAAAAAAAAAAATAAGAAAAAGATACAAAAATTTGTAACGATCTTTAGAATTTCGAAAAGTCTAGTGTTGTTAAATTATAGTTTCACACATTTTCATTAAAATTTTGTGTTATTGGTATAATAAATTTACAAATGATTTATTATTCAAAAAATTTTAATTTTAATGATTCTATAAATCTTTTAAATTAGTGTTATTAGGAGTTGTATTTCTAACTTTTTAAGTCATGAAACAAAATTTGTAGAAAACTATATCCATCCTTTATATTCTTTTTTCGGTCAATTGTTTTTCTTTATTCAATTGATTATTTTATGGGTTTGTTAATTAGAAAACCATGCAAGATAAGATAATTTGGCATCAATGCAAACAATTTTTATTAGTCAATTTGGCTGGAGAACCATAAAACATATGTTATTTAGATATCTATGTAAGGAAAAAGATAATTAGGTAAACGAAGTAAACAGCTGCGTCAAATTTACATACCAGCCCCATACATAATCTAAGTTGTTAGCGTAGCCTGCAGTTCAGCTAGGGTAAGCAAATCCATGTAAGATACTAATGTCAGGTATCAGGGGCGAATCTAGAATAAGTTTTCAGTGGGTGCAAAATATAATAAAGGACTAAGGGGACATCGAACTTGAGACTTGAAAGAGGTGCACAACACTATTAAACCATCTAATCTAGCTGATTTTTTTTTGCATCTTTACATACAAAGCATTTAATATTTATAAAATTACGGGTGCACCATGCCACCATAATCTTGGCACTGGCTTCGCCCCTGTCAAGTACTGTATGAGAAAATGACATTTTGTCTTACATACTTTGCCAAACATTTTTGCTATACGTAGTATTTCAAAAATAAAATAAGGCACATGTTATAGTACATAAACAATAATAACTATATGTAACGTATTGTTACATTTAGTCCTTTCAAATTGATATAATGTCAAAAATAAATTGTATGTTATGCTTAACAAATTTGTGTCAGACTGCAAACTAAATTGAAATTATAATGCCTTTCGATATAACAATATAACAGATAACATGGGTGGTTAATCCAAAGTCACCACAGAAATAGACGATTACTTGCCTGAATTTCTTCTCATCAATGTGTTGCACTTTAACAATATTCTCGATTGACTTCAAAAGTTCAATGTTGGGACAAGAGGACTGATTCAGAAAGACGAAATCTAACTTCGAATTGGTTCAACACTAAGCTTCGCTCAACGCTTTCATCTCTTTAATTTGCTGATAGATATTATCCATGATCACCACATTTGGAGAACCGGCGGAATGGTTAGCATCAGTCCATACTATATAAATGGTACTCAATTTAGCACAGTGGCATAGATGAACATCAAAGTTTATGTTGGATCCTACAACGCAGCTGATGAATTACGCGAAGAGGACATATAAACCAAATTGTTGAGATGTAATTCAAAGAAGTTGAGTGGAGGTTATGTAGATGTTGAAGCTGATAATAAAGAAAAAATCAACTTTCTCGATGTGTATCAATATATTCCAAGCACAACTAAGTTAAATATGTTGTAAAAAAATAGGAACCAAAAGGGATATGAGTGAAGAATCAAATAGCTTTAATCAAACCGAAAGGGAAATTGATTTTCATTGAAACGAATTAAACCAACTTGGATAATGACGAAATTTTATAATAGTTTGAAAAATAGAGGAAACGTGTCAGAGACATTTTATGTAACATACTGATGCATAACTATGTATATGCCTAGGTAGCATGCATCATTTAATGCTTTTGGTATAAATGGAGGCTACCAGCAATCCAAATCTACAGGGTAAAAAAAAAAAACAGTTCAGTTATTTTTGTGCCGGCAAGCTTATTCTAATAAGGGATTAAAGGTAGATTTCTTGAATATTTTAGGGTTCAGTATGTATTGAATTCACATACTTAAATTTCATTATGATTCTCCGGATTAATATACAAGATACATTATAAAACCGATTTATTAATTTCTTGTGTGTATGTTCCAGATGGGAAGGTTAGTGCGGCTCGTAATATGGTTTTGGATTAAATCTGCTAATGGTGTCTGGACTTTCAAAGAGACCACAAATTCTGAGCAAGAATCGTTCATAATCAACCGAACCGACTCTATTGATGGTCTGGTGGAGAGGATCCGTATAACCCTCAACCTAGGAATTCTCACATCTGTTGTGTTGACGTATCAGATCCCGCCGTGGATGCTTGTTTCAGACGAACCAACAACGCCTCCAATCACTTTGCTGAGTGACAAAAATGTGGAAATCATGACAAGTGTTACATATTACATGACAGAAGCAGTGCTCTATGTGACAAGTGGACCTGAACTAGTCGCAAAATACCAGTTGAACTCCCTTCAGTATTAGGGAAGAGACATACTTTGGAGAGGGAGTAACAGAAGAATAACAACGTCAAGCTATACGTGGTATGTGTCTTTATTCTCGATTGATAACATTAAAAATATACGTTAAAATTAGTTCCATTAACCATGTGTATTTACTATTTATTTGAAAGATCTGGTTGGTGGCCATCCGATCGTGTGTAGCAAGCATATATTGGAGCTTATGTTCAATGAACCACAATCGCTAATCGTCTTCCGTGTTATGCTCGAGATAGAGATGGTATATGGTCTACAGAACGATGATGACACAAAAGATCGTTGTGGATATCACAACATAACCGGAGATGACTTTATATCTTTGGAGGGATTCGTTCCCTCCCATGATGCTCTGCACAACTACAATCCTAATGATGAAGGTAAGCATACTGCTGAAGTTTACATAAATATTATTAGGTGATTTACTGATGGTTTAAAGGTGATTAATTGGAAAAAATAAATTCCTAAAAAAACTACTATATCTGTATACGCTAGTTTATAAAAAAATTGTTGCTGAAATCGTGTTACTGATCTATCTTATTTGTTTTTTATTATATGGTATCTTAGTAACTATAATCGAACTCTTAACGATATTGACTTTTAGCACTGAATTTTAATATATTGTTAGTGCTCTATGGAGAACCGATGATTATTGAGGAGCTCCAAAACACACTGCCAAATTTTAAATCAACGGCGATGGTTCATCACGCAGCTACCTTGGACGTGGAACCTGTTAACTTGTGGGAAAACCTGCAGAGGATGAAGCTTACTGGGATAGCATGCTGAAAGGAGGTGGCACATATGAGGTTTACATTGCACCACCACCACTCCCCCACAGAAGGAGTTATAGGACTGCCACTTTCTCCAAACAGGAGGGTCTGTGCCCCAAAACCTCCAACTATCATTGTTATCGACGATGATGATGATGTTTCGTACACTGGGTCCTCCTACGGTATCAACGATATCGAGAACATCACATCTTTCCCTCCACCTGTGCAATATGACCTGATACTACGGTGGAAACTAACAGTGGGAAATCTGTCTTCACATGTCATATTTACTTTATAAAAATGAATAACATATTATGTATATCAAGTGTAACTTACGCAAGACAATGGTAGTTTAATTATATTGCAGGTGAACTTTCGGCTGAGGTTGGAATACAAAACAGCCTAGAAATTCCTGACACTGTTTTTGCTCATACTCCTTCTGCAGCTGCAGCCCCTGCACCTTCCTGGAGCTCACCCTTGGTGTCGAAACTGGAAATAACAGGGTTGAAGCAGAATCTCTCACTGACCTGGGAGACTCATCTTCCGAGGCCGAAGATGGTTGTGGTGGGTTTGGTCTCCTCTTTTAGAATCTATCTCATTACTGATAAATAAGTTGCCTCTTTTTGATGTGAAATGTATGGGCACGGATATTTTTTGTTTGGGTTGTCTTAAACCAGACGATGCATAAGATAATATGTCACCTGCATCTTGTAATGTGAAATACTACTGTGAAATATGTTGATGCACTTTATTACTTACCATTATACTAATGTACTTATCGATATAATAATCTGTAGGAAAACAAACAAACAAGTCTGATGCATTATATGAAGGAAATACATTTAAAAGTAGATCTTATTTCAAACAACAAATGGCTTAATACGCTTCACGAAATAAATTCCGTTTTAAAAATGCTCGATCAACTCCCTAGGGTATGGTCCTGAGATGCATAAGTAGTTCATGCAAATGGAGGATCTATGCAATCAGACTTAACAATGTGGAAAAGTATGAAATTCGGAGAGTTAATTTAGAACATTCATGTTCAATTGACGAAAGAGCAGGTATAAATCTTAAATATAAAATTGTAGTCAACTTCTTGTCAAAATAATAAGCTTCGATGAATATGAGGGAAACCTAATATAGTTACACACGTTAGGGTGATGATTAACTATATAGTAGTAGGAAGACACTTATAGATAGTTTGAATGGATGGTTTCACAATCATGATATGTAACCGGGCTAAGTAAAGATGTGGAAATTTTAACACAACATCCGACAAACTGAAATAACCCTAAATAATGTAAACGCCATTACCTTATAGATGATATACAATGAGATGAAAATTTTAACTTATTCGAGGACATTCAATACATAAAATATTAATATATGCTTAGCTTGAGACAAAGTGGCATAAATAATGACTTTTTTTTGTATATAAATCTAACTTTCACAACTTTAAAACGTATGCTACGAAGAACAAGCAACACATTCTGTCATTGGAGAACTGACTAAGTTGCTAGAAACGGTTATGGGCCACGGCCAATTGAGATCATACAAGTCATGCTAGGTGACCACAATGTTAGGATTTCTTATTGGAAAGCATGGCGATCAAGAAGCGCTAGAATATGCCAAAGGGTCATGTAGAATGTCTTATAGATTGCTTCCTGAATAACTACATAGACTCGTTGTAACCAATCCCGGTACGTTGGTGGAAATGCATATGGATATGATGTGCAGTTGGCCATAGGTTCAAACACATTATCCTTGCCCTTGGTGCATGTATAAATGGGTTCAAGTATATGCGTAATGTCATTGTCATTGATG